AATAAATAAATTTGATAATTAGATATAATGTTATTTATAGATATATTTCATAGATTATTAATTAAAATTTGATGTCATGTTCATATTGTATAAGATAGCATAACATAAATTAAATGAATATATTGTATCTTAATTATAAAACTAATAGCCAATAATTATTATCTTATGCTGCTAAAATGTATTTGCAATATTTTAATATTTAGCATACTAAAATAAATATAACAGGAACATCAAATACCATATAACATATAAAATAATTTTTATTCTTTCAAAATATTATTGAGCGTACAAAAATCAACCATTAATTCAAATTTATTAACATTTATCCAAAATGTCGATTATCCTAGTGTTGACATATTTGCCGACATCCCGGGCCCACATCNCGATTATCCTAGTGTTGACATATTTGCCGACATCCCGGGCCCACATCAGCTCCATGTGATTCCACGTCGGGTCCGGCACTAAATAATCATCCAGTAATTTCACTAATATACAAAATACCATAATTTAGTTATAAATTTGCCCATTATATTTTTAAAAATAAAGTAATCATTTTTTTACCTTTTAGTGTACCCTTAAGTACGGCAATGTCTTTGATATCGTTGAGCCAATCGTTGGCCGCGTATATCAGCGCTATGTTTGTGGAGTTAATGGCCGAGAGGTCGTACTCGGGCGGCACCGGTTGGCCATACCGGACAATATTACCGGACTCTCCGAAATCAAATTTTGTAGGCCTTTTTGTAATGAGTTTTTGTAGCAAATGAGTGCCCGCCCACGTGCCCGACCCCGATGGGATGGTAGCCAGGAATGAACCGATTCTAGACTGATCATGATGTTATGTAAATTAAATTATATTGAGGTAATAAATAATAAAATTTCTGAGTTTTTATTATATAATATCAGCTTATTCAGTATTGACGGTCAAATAACTCTTTCTAAAGTCAAATAATAAACTATAATACAGTATTTTATGTTTATTCAATTTATCACATTGTACATGTATCAATAAATATGGTTTTGGCTAGATTTCTTATGGTTGTAGATTTTTATAATATTATATTCTAATATTTAGTGACATCTAGTTTTAAACTCTGATTACACATTTAGTTTGTATGTGTTTGCCAATTTTTGATCATTTTATAATATATTAATGATAATCAAATATAGAAATTCTATTATTTAATTTAATGAATATTTATTATGTGTCATTAAACTGTAATTGTATTTTAAAATCTTTACTTATTTTGACTATGGTGTTATATAAAATCATTTTGGACCCGCTATTTATAGACATATATCAGTAGTCATATATAATATACAATAAGTTAGATATTTTATTGATTTTATACATAAACCTTTTAATTGAAAGAATTAAATATAATAAATTATATTTACATAATCCATATGATGTGCACCAAAACCCATTATGGCGTAAAAAATTTTCTGACAAAAGCCTTGCATATAATAATTTTCACACAACTGGGCGTAAAATTGTTGCACTTTACCCAGATGTAAAAGCGAGGTTGGATATGAACTAGTTATAATTAATAATAATATATAAATTATAGATTTAAACATTATCCTATTAACCGGTAGAGACGTTCAAAATATGTCATGTATATAAGCGGTGTAGTCGAGTGGCCCAGGAATGAGACTGGACTCAGGGCTATGAATGGCTTTATTATGTCGTTGTACTGGAGTTTAGAGGCCAACAGACCAAACATCATGATCGTACCCTGACTGTGACCGATATAGCTCAGGGTCTCTTTTAGACAATATAATATTTTTAAAATTATATAAATTTATAATGACTAAATTGAAGTTTAATGTTTAGATACTTACTATGTTTGGTTGCGCTGAGTATGTGATCGATGAGCGCCGGGAAGTCGTATTCAATCATCTCGTCGATTGAGAATTTCCAATAATCCGTGTCTTTATGTAACAATTAAAATATATTAAGCCATTTACATTTAACATGGTAATTTAATTTGACATAAAATGATTTATTAGACTTATTAGTGATATTGTTTTAGATTTTGTAAGTTGTTAAAAATAATGTTGTGAATATTATAATATTAATTTTAATAATCAATAACTAATAGTATAAAAACTGTACTAACTATTTAAATGCATCACCATGTATATTAATTTGTTGCCAATTTTATAAATACTGGACTTAACGAGACAGCATCATTATTTAATTTAATAATTTTTGTAACATAATTATAATTATTTAATAATAAGGGGGCGGTCAAGTGATTCCAAGACTGCGGTTTTCATTATATCTCCTAAACGAGAAGAGATAAATTGATTCTGTAAAAAGCATTCTATAGCCCCATATACGCGGGATCCGCTGCATAGGCGGTCAATATATTTTGGTCACGTGGTATACAAAATATGGGACAATTCGGAATGGGCATGTTATTGACCAAACCATAAAAAATATAAAGATGGTCCCCATGGGTAATTTATAAAGGGATAAATTCTGCACACAATAAAAAAAGAATTATTAAAATCTAATCAATAGTATAGGTTTTAT